GGCGAGGATGTGTAAGTTAATTATTATTATTAGAATTTTTTTTAAAGTTTATCTTTATCCACTGCTAAATTCATAGTAAGAAACTAAGACTCTCTACTTATTAATAACCAACTTTTAAAAACAAATTGTATCTATATATTCAGTCTGCTGGTTGAAGAACTTAGAAAAACACTGGTAGCGCTGTGGCAAGGAACTAAAGGAGCTATCTCTCCTGAATCTCTTTTCTCTGTTATTTGGAAAGTGGTGCCACGATTCAGGTATTTTGTTCAAAGATTATTTAAACTTAGGAAACAAACCTTTGAAATATATGCAATTTGTAGGAAAAAAAATGTGCAAGTCATTCCAACAATTATAATGAATAATTTTACTTGTGTAGTTAAAAATCATTCAATTGTGTTTTGTAGAGGCTACCAGCAGCAAGATGCTCATGAATTTATGCGCTACTTGCTGGACAGGCTTCACATTGAACTTTTGGAACTGTTGCCATATCCAAATAACAATTCTCCATATATTGGACCAAAAGGAAAAAGCACAATTGTTACTGCTATATTTGGTGGTCTACTTCAGAGTGAGGTGAATTGTCTTATATGTGGGATGGAGTCCAAAAAGCATGACCCTTTCCTTGGTTAGTGATGTTTTTGCTTTTTTTTTTTACATTATCTTAGTGTTCCTTTACAGTAGATTTTAATGTCCTGTGCTTTTCCATCTGTTAAATTTGTGTTTGTGGGAAAATATACAATAAAAGTAGCAGATAACCAGTACATCAGCAATTAATATTGTGAAGAAGAAAAGGATTTGCTTTAAAGTATACAGATGTATAAAAGTATCAATCTTGATTTTATTTCTTTAGTTGTATGTTTTTTGTTTTCAGATCTTTCACTTGATATTCCTGCTCAGTTTTCCAGCCGGCTAACCAAGCCTAAAGATGGTGAACCAATTTGCACATTATCTGGTAAATGAGTGCTTTTGTAAAAAAAAATGTATATTTAAATGCAAGTTTGAACTAGATCTTTTCACAAAAGTTCCATTCAACATTTATGTTGCAGACTGTCTTTCTAGTTTTACTGATGTGGAAGAGTTAGAAGATTCTGAACTCTACATGTGTAACAACTGCAAACAAAAACAGCGTTCTACAAAAAAATTTTGGATAAGAAGACTGCCAAATGTAAGCTTATAAAACATTAAAATTGGTAAATAATGAACATAGAAATTCAAATAATTATTGATTTTAAAAAATGGAAATAAAAACATGAGATAATTAATCTCATTACATAATCTAATAGGTTCACCCATTATAACTCAAAACAGATTATATAAATTTAAAAAAAAAAGTGATGTTTTGCCAAAAAAATTTGTTAATTTAAAATTTAATGTACACATTTATTTTTTGTATTCCAGTTTCTTTAAATGCTTAATTTTTTTATTTTTCAGGTTCTTTGTTTACATTTGAAACGTTTTCGCTGGAGCATGTTTTGTCGTTTAAAAGTAGAAACTTTTGTTGAATTCCCCATTCAAGCTTTAGATATGAACACTTATGTACTTAACAATTTGGTGAGTTATTGTTGTTTTGTATGTCAGTGTATTTTCTATAGCTTTAACCTGGAGGGTAGAATTTAAACTTATTACTGATAGTATAATTCTTTGTAAAGTAATTTCATAAGCTCAGCAAAGTTTGGATTTTTTTTTTTTGTTTACTAATTTAAGCCCAACAATAAATTTATTGTGTTAAATAAGTTCATTTATTGAGTCAGTAAAAGTGAGACTTGATGCTCAAGTGAATTTAGCTTATTGGAAGCAAAGTCTGCCTAGAAACTGACACTGCTTTACAGACTCTAATAGCCATAATATAGCTATACCTAATTTTTAATTTGTGTCTGTAGTGATGCTTAACTAATCTTACCATTTTCCCCACACATTGTACAATTTGTAGGGAAAAAATTTACATGTATCAAACATTTTGGTGTCATAAGTTTTAATGTAAACTCAGTTAATATAAATCTTTTCAAATGATTAAACTCAAACCAAGTGATGCACCTAGCTTACCACTTTATTAGAACACCACTCCAAGACTCCAGATATTTATGATCATTAGATAAATAAATTGGGAAAGACAGCACATTCTGACACTGCCATTTGTCCCACCATCACTTAGGCAAAGTCCACTTTTTCTTCAACCATTATCTTTCAATACCCCAACCTCATAGTGACAATCCTTCCAACTCATTCTAGATCCATCCTTCACTGTCTGGTTAACTTTCATGACTTCCAGCTTTTAAAGTTCTAGATTCAGGTTATTTATAAATTACTTCCTCCTTGTTTAGATTCTAATTCTAGTGCAATGTAACATTACACCCTGACTATGACAATGAAAGAGTCTTTATTTTACACATTTTTCTTAAATCTAATTAGAATTGAACCAAAACGGCCTGCTTCAGATTAACATATGTCATTCACTGTGCAATGGGGGAAAAAATCAAAAGAATGTCACCTAAATATGGGGGGGCGGGGGGGTAATTGTCTAGGATCCATTTCCTTTTAATTAAACATGATTTCTTTAAGAAGAGAAAGTGCTAAATTATTTTCATCATAGTCAGTCTAGTATTGTGTATTTTGCACTAAAAGTTCAGGTTTTTATTTGCATACATTACTAACATTGTATGAGTATGATTTTGTTTTAGCATGAAACGAGAGGAAGTTTTTCAGGAAGTAACTTGTATGATCTGGCTGCTGTTATAGTTCATCATGGATCAGGGTGAGTTGAAATTGAACATTCATTTGATTGTTTACAGAAATGTTTTTATGGTTATAATTCTATGTGTCTTAAGGATTTATTTTAACTGAATCTGTTTCTCTTCAGGGCGGGATCAGGTCATTATACAGCCTATGCTACTCATGAAGGTATGTAACTTCTTTCACTACTTAATCATGACTAAGAAATATTTTTTGTATACAGCCAATGATAAACAAGTGTGCCCGATTCACTGATTCTCCCACTTGGGGTGGACAAAAAATAAAATTTAACCTGTTATTACTTACCTTGGATCAAAACCACAGTTGTTAAGGTGACCAAAAAACTTTTTTTTTTTTTATTCTCAATTTTGACCTTGACCCTATCAAAAGACTTCCTTCCATTTTTAAGCAGTATTGAAATTGAGTGAGTGTGTAACTTTTAGTAACATTGTCTGACCTTTAACTTGTATACATTGTATAACAGTGAATTTATGTTAAGGGGTGGTACTTAGGATTCACATGTGAGTTGATGGCAGCAGCTGAACTTTCTGATGCTGCTCTCACGTATTTAATACATGTCCAAAGGAATGTATGAGGGAGTGTGTTCTTGTGGGCCTTTTTATTATTATTGTTATAAGTAAGAAGACAAAAAAAAGGGGGGTGTTTATGACAAAATAAACAATATCCTGGTATAGCCTGTGGATAATACTTTATGACATGTAGAGTAAGTAAAAGAAAGTTTCTTGTTGGCTCTTTCATGTGTAGTGGTTTGATGTCTAATGAAACAAGTCATTCAATGGTAACAATGGTGATATTTAGATTTGAAGCTAAATGTAGAAGTAAATGATGAAATCAGTTGGAGTAAAAGGAGGCTACAGGCAGTGAGTGACAAAATATAGAATTTCCATATAGGCTGTGTGGGGGGTATTTATTATTTGGTACTTAACATGAATGATGGTAAAATCTTGATTTTTTAATTTATTTATTTTTTTTGTGGATACCTTTTTTTTTTATTCAAGTACTCATTTAAAATTATTCAATTCATTCAAATCTTAAACATTTCATTGTCTTTCTGCTCCAGGTCAGTGGTACCATTTCAATGACAGCACTGTTACAGCCTGCGATGTGGACACTGTCATCAGGTGCAAAGCCTATATTTTATTTTATGTGCGCAGAGAAATTAGGCTTCCTGACAGTCTCTGTGCCAGAACACACAGCAGTTTAAATAGACATAACAATCATTTGTCAGGGTCCAATTCAGAAGTCAATGACAATCATAGAATGAACAAATTGTTACCCAATGCCAAGCCCAAATGAAGTGACTATGTCTTTTACAACTACAAAATACTTTGGTTGTGCAAAGTGATTTCAAAAAATACACTGGCGTATCTGGATGTAGGACTTGATTGCTGTTGACATTTTTTTCCCTGAATGTTAGATGTTTTTGTATTTTGTGCAAAACAGAATGATCCCATATATTTATTAAGTCTTTTTTTTTTTTTTTTTTTTTTTTTTCTATCCTTTTCCTATTTTTTTCCAGTCTAAAACAAACTTATGGAAAGTATTACAAAAAATGTTGGTAGATTGAGAATCTTGTCATACCTTTCAATCACTGGTTGACTGAATCAATGCTCTCACGAATATTCGTCCATAACTTTCAGAAACTATTTATGAAGAATGATTCAAAGAAAATGGATGGGAGGAGACTTTAAATGTAATGGTTTGATTAGTCTAGACATTTGGAAAAGTCAAGTTGAAAATGTGAGCATGTTTTGACATTTAAGTTTCTGTTAGCTTTCACATTGTCATCATCAATTTTTTTTTCCTCTCTTTTTTAAATTAAATCAAGCAAAAAAAGGAAAACTTTAAATACTTGCAGCTGTTCCTTTTTAAATTTGGGTATAATTTTTTGCTACATTAAAGCTTTGTGTTTGATTTAAATTAAAAATTCATTCATGTCAATGCATTTCTGTCAAATGTTGTTATGCTCATTATTTGTAATGGTGCTAGCTTTGTCTGATATAATTCCTTGAAAATGTTTTCATGATAGTACTTTTTTTTAATGAAAAACAAAAGCAACTTCAAAGCAAATCATGTAACATATTTTTAAGTTTTTATTAATATTTGCTTCTAAAAGTTGTCTATAAATTAGTTATCAAGATCTAAAAATTTTTGTTCATTTTATCATCACCACTCCTTAATTATATTGTGCTTACTTTGAAGAGCCATACTCAAAAGGTGTAATTATAGACTATTATTTAGTCATAAATTCATCTTTTTTTTTTTTTCTTTTAATGAGGCAATGGCAACCATAAGACAGGCATTTCTTTCTCTAGATTTATTTTTAGATTATTTGAGTCTGATGTAGTTTATTTTCTCAAGAGGGCTCTCTTTTTTAATAAATGAGGCATTTCTTCAAGAAAGTTTTAAGATCAATACACATTCACATGTTCATTTTCTTGTAGTTCATGTTAAATACTTTCAACTATACTTAGCCCTTAATTTTCCAGGCTGATTCGGGCAACCTGTTCTAGCATTGCTTTTAGATACACAATAAACAAATTAACCTTCAGTTACTTTGAGGATGTAAATATGAAAATTGTTTTTGTATAGAAACTAGAAGCAATGGATCAAATTATCATTTTAATTTAATGCTTAACATTTACTATGAATGGTAGAAAATAACAGAATCTAGTAACATTAAGTAAAATGTAGAACTTGAAAAGCTACTTTCAAAGTGCAGCAATATTTTTTTGGCAAATTGTGTGGAATACCTGGCAGATAGGATAGGGGAGATAACACTAAATCTTTAAAATGTGACTATTCCTGTACATATCACTTACATGTAAATTGAACTGTCTAAAAATCTGTGACTTGTGTAAAATCTTAAATACTGTGAATTTTAAACTAGACTAGATCTATTAAGTTAAAATGGTTTCTTACAGATAAATCCAGATATATATTCATGTCATTCCACCTTTTATTTTCTGTTACTTCCCTTGTACCCATTTCACGACAGTCAAAAGAACAAAATGTAACATTGTAATATTTTTTATTACATTGTCTGCTTCTTGAATTATTCCACCACCATCAGTGTTCAGCATTTGGTATGTGTGGTGTACACGAGCCTGTTCAATAACAACAGATGAAAGGTGTGCAAATGTTGAGTTCTATCACACAACAGATGTATGGTATTCTGTGACTTGTACATATGTTGAGTTGGATCATGGATTGAATTACTTGTTGTCATTGCCTGTGTTGTTGTTAACTTTTTTTTTCTGCAATTTGAAAAGTGCTTATGATATTAAAAAAAAAAGTAGGGAATTTTTAAAAAAAAACACACAAATTTAGTTTGACTTTCATTTCATATTTGTGTGCTTTATGAAGTGTTGGCTAATCACAGGTACTATTTATTTAATTTTATTTATAAAGCGCTGTTAACAAACAAAATGTTAGGCTGAAGGCGCTGTAACATTATTACAAACACAAGAGCTAACATGACAAACTAATCTAAAAAGTTTTAAACAGATAGGTCTTATTGTTCTTAAAAGTGGTGTAGCATGTTGTCTGTCTGAGATCAATGGGGAGTGAGTTCCAAACCTTTGGTCCGTGAACTGAAAAAGCCCGCAGACCGTAGCTTTTGAGGGAGAAACGTGGCACTACTTGAGTCCATTGAGCGCAGGGCTCTCTGGGGGACATATGGAGTAATCAGTTCTCTAAGGTACAAGGGCATCTCGTTGTTATATATACACTGATGACAAAGTGTGGCGACCTTGTAATCGATTCTCGCTTTCACGGGAAGCCAATGGAGCGTGCGCAAGAGCGTAGTAGCAGAATCTCGTCTATGTTTTTTATGAACTATTCGAGCGGCGTTGTTCTGTATACGTTGCAGCTTGGCTATTTTGTCATCAGGTATACCTGCTAGCACAACGTTGCAGTAGTCAAGGCGGGAGAGTATGAATGCCACAGCTAGCGTTTTTGTTGACTCCGTTGTTAAATATGGTCGGATCTGGCCTAGTCTGCAGATAAAGACCTTTGCAGAGCTGACTTATGTGTGGGTCGAAAGATAGTGTTGAGTCGAAGAAAACTCCAAGATTCCGCACTACATGGACAAAAGGAACATGGCAGTTCGTGATAAAGAGAGAATCTGTGCTTTCAACTCTTGAGACATTGTTCCTAGTGCCAATTTTAATTATTTCTGTCTTGTCTTCGTTCATCTTGAGTTTATTTTCAACCATCCAATCGCTCACCCTTGCGACGGTACTACTGATTTTCTCTGCCAGATGCGACACCTCTGAAGCTACTGATGAATCGTATAACTGAGTCATCGGCAAAGAAATGGTATAAGATACCGGTTGGCCGTATGACACCGCTGAGTGGATGTGTGTACATAGTGAACAGTACTGGGCCTAGAACTGATCCTTGGGGTACTTCGTACTTCAAAAGTAAGCTTGTTGATTCCGTCCCGCTAACAACGACACTTTGGGTGCGTTCCGTCAGGTAGGATCCAAGCCACTTTAGGACGACTCCTGCTAAACCAAAAGTTGCAGAGAATCTGGCCATCATAATTTCATGGTCTAGCGTATCAAAGGCTGCGGACAAGTCCAGCATGGAAAGAATTGATATGTGGCCTTTGTCGGAATTGTGAAGTAAGTCGTTTAGTACCCTGACCACTGCTGTCTCTGTGCTACGGCACTTCCTATATGCAGATTAAATTCTTCCAAGAGACAGTACTGTTCAAGATGAGAAAGAATTTGCGCTAACACGATGCGCTCCAGAAACTTTGACAGGAAGGAAAGATTTGATACCGGGAGATAGTTTTTTTGACATTCCGGGTCAAGACTGGATTTCTTTAATAAGGGCCTGACAAGTGCATGCTTAAATTGCTTTGGTACAATGCCTGAAGTCAGTGAAGAGTTCACAATGTTAGTAATTGTAGGTATAAGCTCATCTAAACATTCAAGGAGCAAGGAAGTTGGAATGGGATCAAGGTCACATGACTTATTTGGCATCTTTAGAATAGTACTTTTGACATAATCTTCAGATACACGCTGAAATTCGCAAAAAGGAGTATTTTGAAAAATTGGAGAGTGGTCAAGCTGTGATGAGAGGGATGGCATGTCATTTCTAATCTGCTCAATCTTCCCAATGAAGAATCTATTGAAGGAATCAGGAAGTTCAGATACTGGGATAGATGACGGCAAATGTTCTTATTTGCTCCCCCTAACATTTCAGCGGTGATCCTAAATAGCTCCTTTGAAGAATCAGAAGTTTCGATTTTTTTTCGATTATGACTAGCTTTTGCGTCTCTAATCATACGGTTAACCTTGTTTTTTTCTAGAATGTATATTTGTCGATGTATCGTAAGGGGGGGGGGGGTCGACCTGAGAGCTGCCAAATGTCTTAAAAGTCATAGGGATTTGGTCTTACAAATATAATAATAATATACAAAACTATAAGGACTAATTGTATAGGCTGGTGAAACAAATTGTAGGTTTAGCCGAGTCTTTTTATTTTATGCACCTACAATCAATATTTAAGTAGACTGAAACTAAAGAGAATTAACATTCCGGTACGGTAGCTAGACAGTGAATAACTTGGAAGGGGCTGGTCCTCCTTACGCAAAATAGTTTGCATATGCTTTGATTTAATCTATAGTGTTTTGTATTTGTTAGGGCTGAGTGTTTTGTGTTATTGGTACAGAGTACTTAACTTTTTAAATCTTCTGTCCTAAAGTGTCTCCAGTGATTTTTACTAATGGCTAAACTAAGACTTACTGCCAGCCTGAGAGCACATGAAGCGCCCTGACCGGGCCTCACAGTGGTGAACGCTATCCGGTCAGGAACTATTATAGTTCTGTGCAATACAGACCATTTTCTTACTGATTCATATTTTGCATGGTTCAAGCCGAAGTAAAACCTCGTGGTGCCCATGTTGCGCAGAGAACACTCTCATACTCTTGTCGGCTTGCTAAGTTCCACAGGCCAGGAAAGCATTTTTGATCTTGAACTGTATGATTACATACGTGCATTGTTTACTACCGCTGGGTATTCGTCCAGGGCTTAAACGATAAAGGGATGGAGCCCATTGAGACACGGCGTTTGATGAAGACGATGGTTTCAGATTTGGTGGTATATTACTGAATATTGTTAGGCTGAAGTTAAAAACACATTTAGGGCTACCCTCGTGAGAGATGCCCCTCGCTGATTGTGGGGCAGTGGTGATAGGCACGAGGAACTGAAGTCACTAACGTCCTGTCTCTACCTTGTTGAGATGTCCATCCAAAAAAGTTCGAGAAACACCCCCTGATGAACTTTTGACCCGGGAAAGGATGAGGAATTGGCTCTTCACCGACCCCCCATCAACTAGATGATCATTTAATCACATCCATTTGTTCATGAGTCAAAGTACCTTAAGCCTACGCAATGGGTTCCCCCGCTGGGGAACGTGCAATGGATGCGGACTGAGTTGTAAGCCTTTCTCACGCCCTTAAATTTTGGATGAACGAAACTTAAGCTTAGTTACCTAATTAGTGTTGGCGATCCTTTCATATATAGTCTATAAGAAAAACAAAGCTAATACAAAAGCTAAAATGGAGGTCTATGATGCATGCATATTGAGTATGGGCTACATACGCAAAGCAGGAGTGAAATTTCAATTCATTTCACTTGCGCTGTCTATGATGGATTCTGAAAATCACATGACAAGATAAAGTGTGTAACACTAGGATATTCTAAAAGTTCTTTAAAGCATTTTCACATGTCCGCTGTATGGAGGATGAGCGTATTCCTCAAAACATTCTCTACAGTCAACTTGGGTTGGCACAAGAAAAAATCCCCCCCCCCCCCCCCCGACATCAAAGCAGTGTACATCGATATGGAAAAACATAGCCTTAGACCGAATTATGTGGAGCGAGGTTGTGACAAAGAATGCTATGGACAGTGAAAAAGCGATGACCTCAGCTTTTGGAAGTAAATTGGTTCATCTACCATCTTTACCTGCGTTGTATTTTGGACGGGAATGTCAGTCTCCAGCTCTACAGTTACCTGAAAAAGTGTCCAATGAGTTGAACCATCGTTGTACTACGATTGAAGGAGACTAACGCAACAAAGATAATAAATGGCCTAACTCAAGTCGAATGTGAATTTTTTTTTTTTTTTGTTATAGATCTAACTGTGTTTGCAAGGAACATTTCCCGAATCAACTATTCAGCCTACAATCAACACTGTAAGTTGTAGCACAGTGAACACTGCCTGACGCAGTAGAAGTTTGTTTTTTTCCCAAGTGACGGTCTTAGCCCAAACTTCCCGCAGGACGGCGGCGGACAGTCAGGTGGACATTGTTAAAACCCGGGACCGTTTAAACGGCAACACAGGCAGCCATCCTTTAGATAGCCTACTATGTCCAGGAACGGACTATGTATCAAAATCGGCATGGGTATTTGTATACGATCCTGCCCACATGTATGTCATTTGGTGCGAGTTTGACAATTTATTTAACATATGCTCAAATTATTAATGTAAACTTTGAAAATGTATCTAAAGCTGGGTTTAGGTAACTTAATGCATTACTAGGCCTACAAGTACGTAGCCTGGTTAGCTAATGTAAGGACTTTCGAACCTATTTGGTAGCCTACTGCTAAATGAGTAAAGTATACCACTGGAAACTGGAACTTTCTTGTCGTCAAAAAAATCATGCTACCCTATAGGCCTACATTAACATACACATGTGCATGATATTCACATACGTCTTGTTAAATCCCTATCAACGAATTACCCGCTGCCACATCGTTTAGGACTGAATGGATTACTTGTGGATGCTTTTTATCAACAGCCTTCAACATGAAATCTTCCAAGTGTGTCATGATACTTCTCAGTCTATTCTTAACAAATTTTTAACATGCAGTGACTGACTTCTTTCACAAGCCCCATGTGTACCTGACAGCATAATAACAAGAAACACTCCTGTCAATAAATTTTACATTTTTAAAATTATGTAGCCTACCTATAACAGCCACTATCGAATCATTTGCCTATTTTCCTGTAATTCGGTCTCAGTCCTCGCCATGTTCTCAGGCAAATGGACTTTAACGTACAAATCCAAATATTTATCCTTAATTCTTTCGTCTGTCCACCTCAAAAGGTTATCTGCTGCTTTCTTAATAACTTGTAAATCCTGTTTGAGTGTCTACATCTTGGAGTTGGTTACATACACAGTGTTATATGCTATCAGAACATCTAGTTCTGAAGAAGATCATCTATCTCTATATATAATTCTTTTCATGGCCCAACAGTTTGGACAAGAAGAAGTAAAGGAAAGATCACTCTTTTATTTCTGCAATTCGGAC